CTATGAAATAAACATTTTAAGGGCAAGACCTTATTTTTTATGTTTACCTGAAAATGCCATGCCGTGTTTGGTACAGTACATGAAATCCCTGAGAAGTTTTGATGATAATTTGAGTGAGGATGAACTTCCATCAACCAGACTTTTGTTTATGAAAAAAGCAGATAGTGAATGTTTATTAACATAAAACAGACAAGTAATGATAAGAATGTCTATGTGTTGTTAAATAAAATGTCATGTGGCAATTTAAAACTTTATTATCATATTGCATTTAGAAAAGGACTCCAGATTAACAGCAAAATCAGCACGTAGCCTTTACATTTATATTCATTAAGTCCATGTCCATGAAAAATAACAAGCCCCCTACTCATAACCTAAATAATTTTTTTCTTTAATGACCCCAAAACTGTTTTTAAATCCCCTGAGTCTGCCATCCATGCCCCTCACCAGCTTCTATTCTGGTTGTGAAAACTGGAGCTCTAATGCCCAAGGGTCCTTGGTCATGATGGTATCTGTTCCTCAGTCTTCTAGATCTCAAGTGGATCACCCACTAGAAAGATAGGATGTGTACATGTCTTGCTAGCATAAATAGGGGTACCTGAAGAAGGACCCTATCATTCTGCAGAAAGGAAAATGTGGGACCACAAACTACAAATTAGGTTCATTTTCCTTGGCTTTTAGTTTAGGATTTTTTAAACTGCAGTGGTTAGAATATAGGAGGATAGAGGGGTATATAGAAATGTACACAACAGAAAAAATTGTTTTGCTTTGTTTTGGATTTGTTCATTAAGTTAATAATTTTGTTTCATCATATTCATTAGACTGATTTATTTTGTATATTCAGATTAGTGTCATATAATCATTATTTTAGAATTGATTCAATTTCGTAAGCCGGCCATGTTCTTTCTATTTTATTCTTTTCTATTCAAAATTTGAATTCTTACATCGAAATTAGAATTTCAGAAAATGACTATATGCCAGGGGTGGGCAACTGTGGTCCTCCAGCTGTTGTAGAACTACAAGTCCCATAAGGCATTGCAAAACTGACAGTTACAAGCATGACTCCCAAAAGCAGAGGCATGATGGGACTTGTAGTTCACCAACAGCTGGAGGGCCACAGTTGCCCACCCCTACTATATGCTTTTTATTTTATGCTATTCTATCCAAAAATTTGAATTTTGGAAGATGGCTATATTCTATCTCATTCTATTCTATTATATCCTATAAAGCAGCCTAAGTAGGAATTATCATTTTAGTTCACGTTTATACCCTATTGTATTTATTGCAAAATGTTTCCATTTCAAATTGGAATTCATCTTTTAATTTGAATTTGGATAATCTGTTTTATTATAATTTTATTTCAAATTTGTTGCAATTTGTTACTATTGTGATTCAGAAATTTGGATACAAATTTGGATCCGAATAACAAAAATGTTGTCCGAATTTTGATTCGTAATAAAATGAGTTGCAGATGTCTAGGGATATAGTTTGTGGAGCAGAGCTTTATAACATAGCTATATGTAATAACCCCTAATATCTGTATTCATAGATATGCCAGAGATGCAGAGAGCAGACACATCAAATTTGATCTAGTGGTTTAGTTTATAGACCATAGCAATGAAGATTTCATGTTGCAATCATGGTGAAGAAGGTGACTAGGTTTAGTAGATATCTCAACTGTGGACTCAAATAAATGTACAACGTAGAATACTTATATAACTCTGGACTGGCTATACAGCAACAGATACATTAAAAAAATGGATACAGATTCAGATACATAAAAAAATTGTATGAAATGATTAATGAAAGATGTGTTTTGTTTGTTTGCGGTTGCTTATTGCCATAGTTGTGGTTCTTGTAAGGCTATTTTTGAGTTTTTGGTTTTATCAATTAGTCACCCCCAAGAAGAGCCTTTCTAAAATCAGGACACCAATCCCTTTTTTTTTTTTTGGTTTAGTTGATAACTTATTGCTGCTTGATGGCAAATTTATGTTTCGTAAACCCATCATTTTATTGTTGACCTTATGTTTATGGCAGTCAAGAGGGTTGTTTCGGTTCATTGGTGAATAGCTCATCCACTGTCCATGGAAAAGGTTCATAAATTATTAAGAAGGTATTGCTTCCTAGAGGCAATTGGTTCAGAAAGTGATTAAATGAAATTCAAGAATTTCTGGTCTGGTTTCTATTTATTGCTACAGGTAAAGACAAAAATTCAATTTTGGTCAATGTACACTGCACTTGCCAACAATGCAAACCTTGAAAGCTGGCTAAAAAAACAACAATCCAGGTATCTAGCAGTTGTGAAGCCCCTTCAAAAGTCTGAAGCTTTAATACAGTAGTCTATGAAGGGAGGGAAAATGTGGGCAATATACAGTACTGTTTGTTGAGGTCAATCTATTAAAGTGGATTGTTCTGCTAAGCAATGTCAGCATACAGTTGCAAGAAAAAGTATGTGAACCTCTTGGGATTATGTGGAGTTTTACATGAATTGGGCATAAAATGTGCTCTGAACGTCATCTAAGTCACAACAATAGAAGAACACAGTCTGCTGAACATAATACTACACAAACATTAGATGTTGCCATGGTTTAATTGCACATAACATGTAAACATTCACAGTGCAGGGAGGAAAAAGTATGTGAACCTTTGGACTTAATAACTGGTTGACCCTCCTTTGGCAGCAATAACCTCAACCAAACATTTCCTGTAGTTGTAGATCAGACCTGCACAACGATCTGGAGTAATTTTGGACCACTCCTCTTCACAAAACTGTTTCAGTGTAGCAATATTCTTGGGATGTCTGGTGTGAATCGCACTCTTAAGGTCATGCCACAGCATTTCAATCAGGTTGAGGTCAGGACTCTGACTGGGCCACTCCAGAAGGCGTATTCTGTGCTGTTGCAGCCATTGTTTTGTTGAATTACTTGTATGCTTTGGGTCATTGTCCTGTTGCATCACCCATCCTCTGCGGAGCTTCAGTTGGCGGACAGATGGTCGTACGTTTTCCTGCAAAATGTCTTGATAAACTCTGGAATTCATTTTCCCATCAATGACAACAATCCGTCCAGGCCCTGAGGCAGCAAAGCAGCCCCAAACCATGATGCTCCCTCCGCCATGTTTTACAGTAGGGATGAGGTTTAGATGTTGGTGTGCTGTGCCTTTTTTTTTCTCCACACATAGTGTTGTGTGTTCTTCCCAAACAACTCAATCTTGGTTTCATCTGTCCACAGTATATTTTGCCAGTAGTGCTGTGGAACATCCAGGTGCTCTTTTGCAAGCTTCAAACGTGCTGCAATATTCTTTTTGGACAGCAATGGCTTCTTCCGTGGTGTCCTCCCATGTACTCCATTCTTGTTTAAGGTTTTCCTTATTGTAGATGTGTCAACAAAAATGTTAGCATGTGCCAGAGATTTCTGTAGGTCTTCAGCTGACACTCTGGGATTCTTCTTTACCTCATGCAGCATTCTGCGCTGTGCTCTTGCAGTCATTTTTACAGGACGACCATGCCTAGGGAGAGTAGCAACAGTGCTAAACTTTCTCCATTTGTAGACAGTCTGTCTTACCGTGGACCCATGAACATCAAGGCTTTTGGAGATACTTTTGTAACCCTTTCCAGCTTCATGCAAGTCGACAATGCTTGATCGTAGGTCTTCTGAGAGCTCTTTTCTGCGAGGCATGGTTCACATCAGACAGTGCTTCTTGAAACCAGTAAACCCAAAACAGGTGTGTGTTTTTTAAAGGGCAGGACAGCTGTCAGCAACACATCCCATATCATCACACTGATTGGAGTCAAGGTTGGCTCACTCCTGGCTCCAATTAGCTCTGGGAGAAGTCATTAAGCTAGGGTCTCACATACTTTTTCCTCCCTGCACTGTGAATGTTTACATGTTATGTGCAATTAAACCATGGCAACATCTAATGTTTGTGTAGTATTATGTTCAGCAGACTGTGTTTCTTCTATTGTTGTGACTTAGATGACATTCAGAGCGCATTTTATGCCCAATTCATGCAAAACTCCACGTAATCCCAAGGGGTTCACATACTTTTTCTTGCAACTGTAGGTCTGGCACATTCATTTTGTGCCACTACATTGTCCACATGCTGATTTTCTGGGAGAGTTCATCTCTTGTCCAATGATAATTGCATAGTTTTGGCACTCTTTCACTCAACATAATTTTTAAAAGTGTTACTAGAGTATTTTTGTTTAATTAAACTAACAAACCTGTTATACTCACCTGTTCTATGCAGTAGTATTGCACAAAGCGGCCCTGATCCTTGGTTCCCATGGTGGCAATCTTGGCTCCTCCTATTCATCGTGTGTCCCTATAACAAGACAGTTGCTATGGGGGCACGCGATGTCTGCTCACTTCCGAGCTGTGTGTCTATGGAGCCGTTCTCCATAGACACATACAGTGGGACATAGCCCAACCTCCCACTTCATCCTCACTGCATTTGATTGACAAGAGCAGGAGCCAATGGTTCCTGCTGCTGTTTGAATCTCTGTGTGAAGAGGAAAGAGGGGAGAAGAGATGTATCAATGCACAGCTCAGAATCTATTCTCTCCTCTTCTCCTTCACACAGGGAAGGGAAAGGATAGAGGAATAGAATTTTTTTTACCCTAATGCAAGGAATGCTTTAAGGTAAAAAAAAAACATTTTTAGCTTTAGTATCATTTTAACTTCTTCCTCGCTGCACTATATCAGAAATACTGCTACAGGGCTGCACGGGTGCACAAAATCACGTGTATATATATATATATATATATATATATATATATATATATATATATATGATTTTGCAGTTCTGGGTAGGGAGCATGCCCACCATTTGTGGCGTCGGCTGTCAATCACCGGATCCCAGCAGGTGATTCCTTGCCGGCACCAGGTGATCACCGAGTATTACCGACGGGGGAGAGACCTGTGTACAAACAACGCAGATCTCTCCATTGTCAGCTCCTGCACACTGCTTTGTATGGCTCCAAATGTTAACCCCTTCCTGCCCAGTGTTAGTGCTTTTTATTAGCACTGATCACTGTATTGGTGTCACTGGGGATGTCAGTGACATCAAGTCAGTTCCCCCAGTGTCAGAACGCCCGCTGCTGTCCCGCAATAAATCACTGATCGCCGCCATTACTATTAAAAAAATTTTTAATTATATACACTGCCATTTGTAAACGCTATAACTTTAACGTAAAACAAATTAATTTACACATACTGGGATTTTTTTTAGCAAAGACGTGTAGCAGAATACATTTTGGCCTATATTTATGATGAAATTTGATTTTACTGGAATATTTTTTTTTTCTCAAAATTGTTGGTCTTTTTTTGTTTATAGCACAAAAAATAAAAAATGCACAGGCAATCAAATACCACCAAAAGAAAGCTTTATTTGTGGGAAAAAAGGATTTAATTTGGGTGCAGTGTTGCATGACCTCATAATTGTCAGTTAAAGTAATGCAGCACCATATCGCCTGGCCTGTCAAGAAGGAGGGTAAATCCTCTGGAGGGCAAGTGGTCCTATGAGGCTGAATAACCCCTGACCCTCTGTCTGGACAGTGCTGATTGACCCTGTGCTGATCACATGCACCCTCCCAGAGAAAAGAAAAAACTTTTAAGCAATACACACTAAACTGAGCATGTGCAGAGTGACTCGCAGAGCTCTGTACTATCAGCAGATGGATTGGGGACAGTAGAAGAAGGGGAGAATCATAGAAGACAGGATCAAACATTCTTTTTACACAATACAGAGAATTAGCCCCTTAGGTACCACAGTGAATATAACAAGCATGCTTTACTGCATACACAGACTGATTTTACTGTTGCGGTTTAGTACCATATATATATATATATATATATATATATATATAAATGTTTTACTATATCGATCTTTAACCTCTTCCATACAGGGCACTTTTACCCTCTTCCTGCCCAGGCCAATTTTCAGGTTTCAGCGATCTCACACTTTGAATGACAATTGAGCGGTCATACGACACTGTACCCAAACTAACATTTTATCATTTTCTTCACACAACTAGAGCTTTTTTTTGGTGGCATTTAATCAACACTGGGGTTTTTTTTTTTTTTGCTAAATTAACAAAAAAAGACCAACAATTTTTTAAAAAAACACGTTTCTCTTTGTTTCTGTTATAAAAGATTGCAAATAATTAATTGTTCTTCATAAATTTAGGCCAAAATGTATTCTACTACATTTCTTTGGTGAAAATAGCCCAAATTAGGATGTATTAATTAGTCTCTAGGAAAGTTATAAAGTTCACAAACTATGGTATATATCTGAAAATTGATCAACTCTGAAGTATTGACGGCCAATCTAATTTCTTGAGGTCCAAGAATGTCAGAACAGTACAGATATCCCCCAAATGACCCCTTTTTGCAAAGTAGCCAGTCCAACGTATTTCATAAGAGGCATGGCGAGTTTTTTGAAGTTGTAATTTTGTCATAATTTTTCAGTAATGAAAAAATGATAAAAATGATTTTCACTATTTTTTTTACATACTGTCAGCAGTGCAGTACAGCATCATCATATAACTGGCATGGCAGTGATCAGGGACACTGACTGGTGACAGTACGAAAAAAAAAAAAAATGATAATTTTTTTTTTATTATTTTTTATTAGATGTTTTTCTCTTTTTTTTTAAGATTTTTTTTTCATATTTCACTATAACCAAAGTAGTATAATGTTACCATAGTAACATTGTACTACTTTTGGGAAGTGATCAGTATTTTTTTTTTTTTACACAATTTGCTAATAGCAAAGAATTTCTTTGCTATAAGAAAGCATTTACCTGAATTACATCGATTCATTCAGGGGGTTTTTTTGTGCTTATCTGTGGCTTGGCCACGGCTAATCACATGGCACAGCTGGGCTGTGACTGGCACAGCTTGCGCATGTGATCGCTGTGACCATTCACAGCTAGACACACTTGTATACAATGGATGGCATGAAAGGAACCCATCCATTGTATACAACCATCCTGTGACCTGCTGTGATTGGTCACAGCAGGTCACATGGTACTGGCAACGGGGCCGGTACACAGATCTGTCATTGGCCTTGTCCGAGGTGCACGGCTGTTGACAGATCACACCGCTGCGTGGCCCTGCAGGCAGGCGCAATGCGGATGCCTGGAAGGACGCCATATGGCGTCCACCTGGAGGGATGAGCGGTTCGCCCGGCCGCCATCTGGCTATAGGTCGGGCGGCAACTGGTTAATGTGGCATTTAGGAAGAGGAGTATGGATCACTGTGGTGTACACTAGACATCATAGCAACAGGAAGTGATTATTTTGTTAGGTCCAGAAAAGGTTGCAATTATCCTTTATATTTTGAAGAGTGGTTTGTGTATGCCTCCAATCTCCAAATGTAGAGACAAGTAATATGTTCATGCTGTTTCAAGGACTCTCTTTTTTTATTCTGATTTGACGCATATTTTACTCTATAATAAGTGTGTGCTATACATGTAGGTTATATTTGTAAATGGTTTCATGTATAATGCACCTTCCTGTTTGTGATTAAATGACCTTATCCAGTATATGCATGAACTGTGATTACAATAAACTTTTTAAGTACAGATTTTTATTTAGGGCTCTTTTACTTTTATTTTATCACATACTGCTGAATTGTATGTTACCATAATGCAAGTATTTATCAGTTTGTTTGCTAATATCTATCCATCAACTGTAGAAGAACTTGCATATGCTTGTGTTTCCAACCTACTCTGTCATGCCTTGTGATTTATGTTGTTCGCTGCATATGATTTGATATTGATTTTATTTCAGTTTCTGTAGATAAATTAATAGATTCAAGACAAAACATGTAACCTAGCATCGGGTAGTACAGTTTATTATGCTTTTATAAAAATATTGCAGAGGCATGCACTTCCGAGCTTCAGATCTTGGATTAGGGAATATTGATTAATGAACTTAAACAGAACACATGCACTTTGGGAATGCAGAGCTCGATTTTGGCAAAAACTGAACACTTAGGCAATCTATGTCTGTCAAGCTGTTTTGAAACTATGCAGAGCATATCAGGATTTACTGTCACAATCTGGCTGCAAGGTGGGCATTGCACAAATATGTCACAAAAAAGGAATCTTCATCTTGATCACTTTTACATGAGAAGAATGTCACCTTTTTTCTTATCGTGTATGTGATAAAGGGGTGCACAGCACGCTTGTTGTGCATGACTCTATCTGATATAAATGTAGGAAATACCTAGCTCAGTTTAAGCTCAAAAAGTGCCCATTTTTTAATGACTGTGCTATCTGTTATCAATTACCAGTATCATAAAGTGTACCCTATTTAGGTTCTGTTTGTACTGTACAAACCCAGTGTTCAATATAATAGGGCAGCACAGTGGCTAAATGGTTAGCACTTCCACCTGGCAGTACTCGGGTCGTTGGTTCGAATCCCAGCCACTGCACCACCTGCCTGGAGTTTGCATGTTCTCCCTGTGCCTGCCTGGGTTTCCTCCGGGTACTCCAGTTTCCTCCCACACTCCAAAGACATGCTGGTAGGTTAATTGGCTCCTGTCTAAATTGTCCCTAGTATGTGTATGTATGAATGTAAGTTAGGGACCTTAGATTGTACACCCCTTGAGGGTTAGGGACTGATGTGAATGTACAATATATATGTAAAGTGCTGCGTAAATGGACGGCGCTATATAAGTACCTGAAATAAATAAATAATATGCTGAGGGCTGTGTCTCCCCTTGCTATCCTAGGCCATGATGACCAACGAAGATTAAGATGTAAATACATTTAAAAAAGTTGAAAAGGAAGATGGAAAGAAATATTAATCATAACAAATTACAAAATGTTGCATGTGAATAGCATCAGTATAATAAATATTGGTAATCATTGAAGATGACCAAAGTAGAGAGATTCTGGTATTGTCAGCTAAGATAAATGGAATCTTAATTGAATTTGATGTCTTCTTGGGGTGGGGACGTATGTTCACACATGGCGCTGTGAAAAGCAGTCGAGTCCTATCTATCCATAGACACAGACCGTGAGACCTTACCCACCCCCCCTTAATAGGATTTGATTGGGACGTGGTGGCCATCTTGTTGTTTGGAAACAATATCGTTAGATACAACACTGCAGTATCATATTTGCATTTGTACAAGCTTTTAAATGTGAGTTAATCTCTTGGATTAAAATTCTTTTAGCGCTAATTTGCGACACTATGAGATGGCTTTTTTTCCTTTGATCTACATATCCTGCATTATTGCTATCTATTTGGCTAGAGCTGGTCTGTCCATTAAGAGTGGTTCCATTGTGATAAAGGTTGGAAGTTCTGCTGTGACAACCTATGGTGTTATTCTTACAGCGCTTTTTGACTGTTCCTGATGGGCGGTCAGAACATTTGGTAAGAGGCAGATTATTTGGTGTGGTGGTGGAGGTTCTTCCCTTGTTTTTCCTTCTCTTTTGAGTACCATTGTCTAAGACTCGCTCATCAGGGACCCTCAAGGACCATCAGCTTTTTTCTATTTATTTGTACCATCGGATTGGACTTACATTGGCAGTATGATGGACATGTTTTATTATTCATTTTAGGTCTCATAGTCAGCGCTGCACTGCTATTCTGTAATAGGATTTGATTGACAGCAGCTATTCTTGTGCAGTATGAAAGCTTTTTAATGGATACAAAGTGTAGTAATAAGGCCACTCACAAAGCATAAGTAGGTTTGCACTTGTAAATTAATAAGCATCTACTGTAGTGAAGGAGTGTGAAGCCTTTGGATGGATGGTGGTTACCGGCATCTCGTGGCTTCCAACAAGTCCAGGTTTACCCCAGTTGAGACAGCACTTACGGTCACATGATGGCGGGTATTGGCTTGCGATCGGAGCATGCATGCTCCCTCATCAGGCCGCAAGGATGCCATCTTGATGTGGGGAATTTTGGGACCTGATGAGGGGGGCACGCATGCTCCGAACACACGCCAACCCCAGCCCACATGACCAGGGATGTCTCAACTGAGGGAATCCCGGAACTAGGAGGACAAATGACCACCATCCATCCATCCAGAGGCTTCACTCTTCTTCACTACAGTGGATGTGTATTAATTTACAAGCACATACCTACTTATGCTTTGTGAGTGGT